GGGGGGCAAAAAAGGATCACAGAGATGGCCAGCAGAGCCTACCCTTCCAGATCTACTCCCCTGAGATCGCCGAAGGCATCGTGCTACCCTGGCGCTTCCTGTCTGCCCACCAGCAGTGGCTCGATCCTCAGTGGTTCTCAACCTTCTGGCCCTTTAAATACAGTTCCTCATGTTGTGACCCAACCATAAAATTATTTTCGTTGCTACTTCATCACTGTCATGTTGCTACTGTTATGAATCGTCATGTAAATATCTGATATGCAGGATGGTCTTAGGCGACCCCTGTGAAAGGGTCGTTCGACCGCCAAAGGGGTCGCGACCCACAGGTTCACGCGGGCAGTACCTGCTGGTGGCCGCCCTGAGGCCTATGAGACCATCCCCTTTAAGGTGCTGCGTAGGGAGATTGCCAAGGCCAAGGGCCACTTTGGCACTCACTGGAAGCAGGAAATCAAGCAGCTCTTCTTGTAGTTCCACTTGAACATGGAGAAGCCACCCACTGCAGTGCCTCCTGGGGTGAAGCAGCTGCCACCCCCACTGTTGAATGGTTGGCCCCCAAGGTGGCACAAATACCCGAGTCTTTGTCTCCACCCCTGGCAGGAGGCCTGCCTTTGTCCCTGATTCCACCCAGTAGGTCTGCACCCTCAGAGCCCATGAGCCCTCTCCAGCTGCCCCCCTCCAGCTCTCGGGTTCCACCCACCATCTGGGGGTCTATCTGCCTGCTCCTGGGGTCCATGCTCCTCCCTTTGCTGGAGTCCACCCCCAGGTCCCAGGGGTCTGCCCTCTAGCGCCTGGGACCCACCCCCAGCCTCCTTGGTTCACCCCTCCAATGCTGGGGTCCATCCCCACTCCTATGCCCTGATGGAGAGGTCCCCTCCCCTGCCCTCTGAGGGCTGGGGGAACATTCCACCCCCTCTCCTGGCTGAGTGAAAAATCAACCCCTCTTTGTATTTCTGCTTCCCTGTTTTCCTGTCTTCCCTGCCTGTTACCCAACCCCCCCCCCCAAAAAAAAAAAACAAAAAACAAAAAAACAAAACAGAAGTTTGCTGATTTTTACAGGGCTGTGCCGTGTCCCCAGACATCACTAGTCTCCTTGGGGAAACAAATTTAAAAAAGAGGTAAGCCCTAGCTCGTTTGACTCTGTGCTTAGAGTCGGCCCATGGACCTCAGGGTCTCAGGTTTGATTCTCGGCCAAGGGCAAGTACCTTGGTTGCAGGTTCCCCAGTCCCAGTAGGGGCATGTATGGGAGGCAACCAGTCGCTGTGTCTCTCTCACATCAATGTTTCTCTCTCTTGCAACCTCCTCCCTCCCTTCCACTCTCTCTAGAAATCAATGGAAAAAATATCCTCAGGTGAGGATTAAGAAAGAAAAAAAAGGTCATGTTCACATGTTCAATGAAATATTTTTAGGAGAAATTAATGGCAAACTTGCAAAAACATACTTCTAATAATCTTGTACATTTATATTAGCACTTCATTTAATGTATTAAATACAAGTATAAAACTACAAAAAATATTCCAAAATGTTGACACTATTTAGTGCTGAATGTCAGGACACAATTGATTTTTATTTCCTTCCATTTCCCAATTGCTTCAGTTGCTTTGTACCACTATCTGACTCCCAGAACCTCCCCACCTCTACTACATGAGGACAAAGGCAACAAAATGAGCAGGTATGGTCGCTGAAAAGAAAGACACAGAACACTAGCTCTGCAGTAGCAAACATTTAATGACACATTTTCTCAAGCAACAAGGATACAGAGCAAGTGGGCATAGAGAGCCAAATGCCAATATGAGCCAACAACGGAGCCCGGTTAGAGAGTAGCACTACTCCAGGAATCAATTCCCTGGGAAGTGCCTAGTTAGGGTCACCGGGTTCGGCCCCAGCCCTCCTTTCCCGGCTGACTCTCCTTGGAATAAAAGGCCAAATGCACTGAATGTTCTGCATCACCAGCGAAAGCTTTTCCAGGAAGGTGTTGACGGAAACTCGGAGCAGATCAAAGTCGTCAGCAGCCCATTTGCTAAAAGTGAAGGATAAAAATCAAGTTAAAGGTGATGACTCTCTTACACCCAACCCCGCTTCCACCCCCGCCCCCCTCCCCCACCAGACCTGACACTCGAGTGTCTCCTTGTATGCATGACACGGCCCCTCTCTGGCTAAGACTGGCTCTTAGCCCCTGAGCACTTGCCCCCACCCCCACCCCGCTATGGACTCCTTCTACAACTGACACAGAGAGCACGGTGCCCTTGATTTTGATCTCCCTTTGAACGGCCTGCTGGTCATTTTCATCGTCCATCGTTATTCGGGCCATCTCTGCCTCCAGGGAGCACCGGAAAGGCACAGCGAGCTTGCTGTGGGAGACGTGGTTAAGGCACCATCCACAGCTGAATTTTCCAGTGCCTCGGGCTTCCTTATACCTCAGAGGCTGGCCTTCACCCCAGGCTCCCGCTCCAGTCATCTGCCCCCACTCCCACCCCCACCCCCGGCTCAGGCCACCCTCAGTTCATCCTGTCCAACCTCCGCCACTCCCTCAGGCTGCTTCGCTTCCCTCCAGCCCCCCCCCCCACCTGTCCACTCCCCTCCCACCCGGCTACCCCAGGTCCCCTCCCTGCTCCATTTTTATCTTCCCCAGGCTGCCCTGTGCCCTGTCCCCAAAAGCCAGCCCTAGCCTCGCAGGATGAACCTGAGCCATCCCTTGACCAGCAGGCCTCAGGGCATCGTCGGAAAGGATACAAGATCTTCTTTCGGTTTCCTGGCTCTGCAGCCACAGATGTTGCATGTCTACCTGGCCCAAAAACATCTGCTGCCGGTGCCACAGTAGGAGCACCTATGGCTGCTGCTGCCGTCGTTTCCTCATCTCCAGGGCCACCCGGGAAAGCAAGGCCACCCTGATTGTCGGGGCCGCCAGCACCACACTGGCCAGGAGGGCTGCTAGGGCCACTCTGGGTGCCGGGACCACCAGGGCTAGTACGGCCACGAGGACCATACTGGCCTCCCAGATCGCTGGGGAGACCATGGCTGGTAGCGTCGCCAGTTCCACCCTGGTCTCCAGGGCCACTGACGCACTCCCCTGCACTAGCCGTACAACCTGCCTCTTCTTCGACTGTGGCCTGCTTGGCTGCTTCGAAATCCATGTTCCCCTCCTAGTCTAACTTCAAGATGGCTGCCCCCTCAGCCCAATTTAAGGAGGGACTGAGGCTTTCTCAGGAAGTCCCACCCTTTCACTGGCAAGCCACTCAGCGTGTCCAGGGCTCCAGGGCGCCTGCGCAAACAATCCCTTCGCGCACAATTGAACGCCCCGAGCACCTGCGCAACAATTGAACCCCAGTGCGCCTGCGCAAAGAGACTCCCTCCTCCCCCCTCCCGCCCCCTCCGCACTCGTTCGTTTCCTGGCAAGAGAGGCCTCCTATGGGCTTCTGTGCTGAGGCTGCTGGGAACGTGACTGTTTCCCGCTATCTGGCCGAACACCAGGCTTCCGGGTGAGCGTCAAAGCCGCTGGCAGCACCTGCCCGGCCACCCTCATGTAACATATGCTTGTTGAGCCCTGTCATCGAGTTCTGGGAGTGACTCGGTGCCTCTGGGCTAGTCCTGGCCTATTCATCTCTATGCACTCCACCTGCTGCTGCCTCTGAATCTGCAGAGACAGGTGGGGCCCCGCCCTGGGGGTATGCTGAGCTGCAGTCACTTCTCCATCCCTCTTTGTTGCTGAGTGCTATTCCGCTGCACAGATTTATCATCATCGGTGTAACCATTCTCCTGTTGATGGACATTTCGGTTGTTTCCAAATCGGGCTTTTTACTAATAGAGTCGATACAAAAGTTTATGTACAAGTCTTCGTGAAGACATATGGTTTTAATTACCAGGTAAATAGCAGAAGCGGCCTTCCTGGCACATGCGGTTAAGTGGAAATTTAACTTTATAAGAAACTGAAGAACTGTTTTTCAATATGATTATGCCAACTTGCATTTCCACCAGCAAAGCATGAATTTTTCGTTTTGTCTGTATTCTCTTTTAGTCACATTTATATCTTTCAACTTTATTCTTCTTTTTCAAGGTTGATGTTCCTATTCTGGATTCTTTGCATTTCCACATACGTTTTGGAATCAGTTTGTCAATTTCTGCAAAGTCAGGATTTTTATTAGGTTTGCATCAAGTTTATAGAATGGTGTGGTGAGAACATTCAATTTAAGAATACTGGGTCTACCAATCCATGAACATGACCTATTTCTCCACTTAGTAGGTTTTCTTTAATTTCTCTTAGCAACAGTTTTCACAGTAAATATTTTGTAATTTTATAAAGTACATTACTAAGTATTTCATGTTTTGGGATACCATTATAAATGATAGTGATTTTTAAACTTTCACTTTTCTTTTTTGTAGATAGGATTTTCTACATACACAAACATGTCATCTCTGAATAAAGATACTTCTCTTTTTTTTCCAATTTGTATGACTTTTATTTCTCTTTCTTTCATAGTGCACTGCCTAGGATTTCCAGGACAATGTTGAACAGATTCTGTCTTTTGCCATTCAGTATCGTGTTAGCTATAGGATTTTTGTAGAGTCCCTTGTTCAGATTAAGAAAGTTTCCTTCTGGTTGTATTTTTCTGAGTGTTTTTTTAAAAATCATAAGTGGCTGTTGAATATTGTTAAATGCTTTGCCTGCATCTATCGAAATGGCCGTATTTTGCCCTTTATTTGCTGAATATGATCAAAGACACTGATTCATTTTTTGATTTGAGACCAATATTTTATTCTTGAGCTAGATCTCACTTGGTCCTGATGTATCATCCTCTTTATGGGTTGCTAGATTGTTTGCTGATATTTAATTAAGTTTTGTGTGTGTAACTTCATGAAGGATATTGGTCTGTGGCTTTCTTTCCTTGTAATGTCTTCATTAGGTTTGGGTATGATGTAATACTGGCCTCATAAAATGATTTGAAAAGTGTTTACCCTCCTCTACTTTCTGAAAATTTTTGTATAGAATTGATAATATTTCTCCTTTAAGTATTTCATAGTATTCAGTAATAAAGCCACATGAGCCTGGAGTTTTCTGTTCTATTTCTTTGATAGATTTACGGGATAGGTTTTCTAATTTTTCTTGAGTCAGTTTTGGTAAGTTGAGTCATTAAAGGAGTTTGTCCATTTCATCTAAATTAGCAAATTTGTTCACAAATATTTTTCCTCATACTGTCTGGGTACTTTTGATCAGTTTTATTGGTATTAAAAAAGCTTTCTGTTTCAAGTATATTCTCTATCATTTTACATTTTATTCATATCTGCTTTTCATTATTTCTTTCCTACTACGTATTTAGATTTTAATTTTTAATTTGCAAGTGATACCAAAAGAGATAAAACAATAAAAAATACCCACCCTGGCTAGAGCCAAAGGAAGAATTTCTGGGTCAACTGAAAGATTAGGGGGTAGTTCTTGGCTGGATCCAAGATTTGGTTCTCTGAGTTTTGCCTTTCTTGCCCTAACTGCCCTTCTGTTTGGCGCCAGCCTGCACCCCTGCAGCCCCCCAAAAGCGTCACTGGTTAGATGGGATCAGCGGGGCTACAGGAAAGCAGGGCTCTGGTTTGCCAGGGCAGGGGGATGGGCACATCTATGTGGAAATAGGACACTGGTAGCAGGGGAGGGGGAATGGATGTTGGGTGGCAAAACCAACAGATGTCTTCCACAGGGGTGCATACATGTCATCAAATTTAAAACCCATTTCCAATGTTTTTAAAAGAACCCTACTAGGAAAGATGATTTCTTAGTCTAATAGAGCCAAACTGTTTCCAAGTAACTTAACAGAATCCCAGCACAAAACTCAAGAGTATATTTGGGAGCATAGATACCATCCTGGGTAAAATGTCTCAATGTCTGGCATCCAATCTACAATTACCACGCGTGCAAAGAAGCAGGAAAATTCAACCCCATTATTAGAAGCCAGTCACAAAGAGGCATCCAGATTGGAAAGGAGACATCCAACTGCCGTATCTGCAGACAACCTGATCACCTATGATGAAAATCTGATGTAATTCACAGAAGAGCTAGTAAAACTATAGGCAAGTTTGGCAGGGTTGCAGGAAAAAAGGTACATCAGAGGGAGCTAACTCGTCCCCGCAAAAGCTAAACTAATTCTCTCAACACATCTGAAATGTTAGTAAGCCACAAAATTCTCATTCTAGTACTTCTGGGTTGTTTTATCTTATGCAAATTAAGGTGCCTATTTTTCTTTATAATTTTGGCAGGAATCAGAAATACTGGTAAACAAAAAAAAAACCTGAGCAAACTAAAATTCTGGTGGGAGGGCACTTTCTGGAGAGCAATTGTGTACTGTAGACTAAGAGTTTTAAAAAATAAATATAAATATACATTTTTTTTCTTTATTGATTAAGGTATTACATATGAGTCCTTGTCCCCCCACTCATGCCCTCACCCACTCCTGGTGTCTGTGTCCAGTGGTTAGGCTTATATGCATGCATACGGGTCCTTTGGTTGATCTCTCCTAAATACACATTTTTAACTCAGTAATTATACCGTTTGGAATCTACCTTGAGGAAAATAACCATTCCCACAAAGTCCTATAGAAGAATTCCATCAAATCATGAATTCCAAGTGGAGGAAAATGGAAACGTGAAATGTTCAACAATTACATTCTTGGACTTCTGTTATGCCGTCGGACTGCTCGGTCTCGAGCCTCCTCCTTCGCTGGTGTCTCGTGGGTCCTCCTCCGCCGCCGCCGCTGCCCAGCCATCCTGGTTGTCTCTCCCTCCCTCCTTTCCTCAGAAGGATGCCCTCCTTCCAGCTCAACCTCACCCCGCTCGGCTTCATCGGGGTCCTGATTGCTTCTATCTTTGCTTTCGCCACCCGTGGAGGTTCTAAGGGCAAGTCAGAAATTCTAGTGAGTTGTCCCCCTAAAGTACCTGGCAATAGAACCATTACGGCTACTTTTGCTTAGCCATTCAGGTCGAACGAGGCATCATTTCAGTCTTTGCCAGTAAATGCGTGTGATATAGGTTGGAGCAAGTTTGTCCTTGGAGATTACGATGCTTCTGCGCGATTCTATGTGCCGTTTGCAGTCTTTGTCTTCTTGTACTGCGTTGCTGCTCGTCTGCTCTATGTTGGTTACCAACCCTATATGGGGATAATCGAAAACTTCCCATGACTGACCTTGTTGTGATTCTTGTTGTCACATTCTTGTGGCTGGTGAGCGCTTCAGCCCGGGCTAAAGCTCTTACAGATATTCAAATAGCTACCGGCCCCAGTATTGTGCAGGAACTCGCAGCCTATCATTCTCAAGGATTGATGTGTTATTTCGGCTCTGTGACTAGTATGGGATCCCTAAATGTATCTGTGATCTTCGGCTTTCTGAATATGATACTTTGGGGGAGAAAATGCGTGGTTTGTGTCCAAGGAGACCAACTTACACAGTCCATCCAATACTTCTGCTTCTCATCCCCAAGGAGGTATTCCACCTCCTCCTGGAATTTAATTAAAGGGAGAAGTACACTGTATAAAATATACATCTGTATGGCGACCTGTTGCCAACATCTTGAGAAGCATTATGTGTTTCTAATGAAAGTAATGGCTTTTTCCGTAAATTGGTGGGTTTAAGATTTTGCTGCTTTTTGACACAAAGCCTGTACCCTTCCTAGAAATTTAAGATGTAAATGTATTCTGACATGTAAATTTGAAAATTCAGGGCCTATTATGAGATGATACACATCTCTAAATGAACATTAACTTCTTCACTAAGTCTTTTTACTTCCAGAGTGTTTACACTTTCAACCTTAACACATTGCGCACCAGTAGTTTTATTGCTAGCTTTACCCAGTGGCCA